CAAAGAGTGCATCAGCGTTTCTCCACTTCTCTACAAGCGTCTTATTCACTGGTTGGTCCATTTTTGGTCCAGAGATGCGCCTATTGTGCAATATAATGAGTGGCCGTTTCTTCGATGGAAGCTTTTGGCGTATCCCATTGAAAACAGCGTTTATCTACAATCCATCGATCGGAAACTACCATGTTATCACCCTAGAAGAAATTAATTACCTTTTTACGGTCTTAGTTGCTACCTCTACAACTTACCTTGGAAGGCATGAATCTAGTCTGGTTAGAAAGTCCAACATTAGCTCCATCGATCACTGCTTCAAAAGGTCCATAGTAATCAAGCCATTTCTGCGAAAGAAGAATAAAGAGATTAAGAACACAATTAAAAAAGTATCATATAACTCCCCAGATAAATCCTTGGCCATGGTCCATACTTTAAACTTCATGAAGCTCGAGTCTTTATCTCTCTTTACAGCAATTGAAGCAACTGACTCAGCAAAATTCTCTGTTTCAACAGGATCAAGGTCTATTGTGGCCAACTTCTCCCCACAACATCTACAAGATGCATCTGGTCCAATAGATGTAAAAGAAACTCTCCATTTTCCTTTCCCTAACCAGCCCTGCCCATGCCAACCTCCACCTCCATTTTCAACTGCCTCTTTGATATCCACTTCATTCCATTTCCTTTTCCCCACTCTCGATGCTGCAGCGCTATCAAACCATCTAACTATTGTATCAGCAGCGGAAGGTGAGACCCTCCTTACAGTAGTTCTGAGTTTCTGCAACAAGTAATAAACCTTGTCACCTTTGCTAGCTTCCACACTTGCTCTCAACAATGCCTCGAGTTCTGGAGCTTCGGGAGAGACACCATGCTCCAACATGTGCTTTTCCACGCAGAAGGCTTTCTCAACATCTCCAATTTCACAGAATGAAGACAGAGCAGGGGCATAGGATCTCAGTTTAGGGTTTATCCCCAACTGTGTCATCTGCTTCACCATATCAAAGGCCATGTCTCCATTGCCCATCGACATAGCCATTCTAGCCACAGCAGTCAAGGTTGATTCGTTCATTGGGATATTCTGGAGACGCATCTTTTCATAGATCTCCAATCCCCTCTTAAGTGCATACTTCCTGAGATCTTCACTCACCTGGATTCCCCGGTTGTAGTGTTTTTCCCTGTCATCCAACTCGGTGGAGCCAGTGCTTTTGCTGCCCTTACCTTTCACCTCACTTGGCTCTTCAATACTTCTGTCAGGACTTTCATCAAACAAGTTGCGTGCATTTGAAGAGCGGCTACCAGAATTCCCACTCTTGGCTGGCTGAACAACTCCAACTGCAGCAGAAGAACAGAGATACAAAATTACAGAATACTGATACTGCCCCATGGAGATTCCTTCCCTCTGTGCCCAATCATACAATTCAATCGCGCGCATTACGTCTCCTCTCTTCGAGCACATGTCGAACTCGAGGCGCATCTGAATATCAGGGAAACCGGCCTTGCTCTTCTTATTAGACGCTTTCCCTGTTTTCTCGCCCTCAGTTTTCTTCGTCTTCTTCTTATCCAATCCACCATTTTCAGACGCTCGGCTTTCCTCACCAGCTATTACCCTCTTCCCACTTCCATTCTCATCACCAGACCTCGCGGCCGAAGCCCCTGAAACGGTATCTTGTTTGTATTTCCTCGCATTCTCACCCTTCCCATGTTTGCTGTCAGTTCTTTCCAGCAACAAACTGACGAGTCCTTTCACAGAATGATTCTCTACCCTTTTCTCAGCATCCTCCGAAGTTGAAAACCCAGAATCTCCCCCCTTTGCAGTTCTCGAATTCACTGTTCCCCTCCGAGTTTCGCAGCTTCTGGCGGGCGAATTTGCTTGTGCGCTGGATTTAGCTTTGAAAGAAGTTGTGCGCTTGGCTTTGGAGAAAGCGTGAATCTGAGGAGAACAGCGGAATTGGGCTTCGGGACGGCTGCATGGGAGCTTGTAGTGAGAAAGAGTGGCGAAGAGGAGGTGCTGGTTTTGTTGCAGAGGGTTGAACTTAACAGTTGAGCAGCAGGCCATTGTGGCCGTTAGCCAAAGCTTCTCTGGCTCGTTGATGCGGGTAAGGTAAGGTGAGAAAGATAACCCGAAGTCCAGAACCAGCCTCTAAGGTGGGAAAGTACAGAAAGGCCCTTCAACTTGGCTTCCAGAGTCCAGCTTGTTTAGTTGGTCAAAGCCCCTAGGCTCGTTACTCGTTAGTCGGTCTACCCATAACTTCATTCTCTATCTATGTTCTTAAACCGGATGGGATAGGTCGGGTATGTAAAGAAAAACCGGTTTAAAATCGATTATTTTTCGAAATACAAAAGATACTATGTTTTTATTTGCACAATAAAACAATGGTATAAAATTTCCCAAAATACAAACATTTGTCTGGCTCGCTTGGTAGACCAGCGAACAAAAACTTGGCTAACGGAAGTGAGCAGTGATTAAGGTTGTTTGTTGCCGTGAGGAGCGAATTATGCAGTAGTTTGTGGTAGAGAGCCGCTATCAAACTTGTTCTCTGCGGTGACGAGCAAAGTATGCAGCGATCAAGCTTGCTCGCTACAGTGGGGAGCGAACTATATATTAGTTCACTCGACTTTGCAGCAGTTTTCGTAGATCGCTTCAACGGACCGAGGTCATTGCCTAAACCCTAATAAAAGTTTTAAAATTCGAACACTTATTGCTACTGAACTTGAAAATAAATTTCAATAGGTTATTATATTAATTAAGATACAATAATACAAGTACATATTGATTAGATCAACCTTTGGTGCGCTTCGAACTCGTTGTGGTCTCTATGTTCTACCTATCTCATTTCGAATCATGTAAACTCTTGGTCGATCATTGGTGCGCTTCCTATGCTCATGAGGGAATACTTCTTGTCCATGGTACTTGAGCCAATAAGCTTCATGAGCTAAAGGCACGAATGAGTGATCCCAAACCTTGGTGACTAAATGAGTCTAGAAGTATGGACTAACAAATCGAAGTGGGTCAATGTGCACGCTTTTTACAACGACATAGACATGAGAGCAAGACAAGTGTCTTCCTTGAAACTTACCGCAAGTGCATTCTCCTCTTCCATCCAGACTCTGAAGTATAAAATGTGAATGTTTGAGCATAACCTCTTTTTGTTGTGTGGGCCCCCCTCAGTATCTATTGCAAATATGTCATCTCTTTGGTTGCACAAAGCCACCATATGAAAGATGGACATTTTCTTCCAAGGCTCCATGTACTTGGCGATCTTTTTGGGATGATACATTGCTAAGCATATTAATGACCTATTTGTGTAGTTTTACGAACCACTCAACCATCCGGAAGAAGAAATGCAATACGAGAGTGATATTGGCACATGAAGGCCAACATATATACAAACCATCAAGGCTCACACCCATGTTCTTTATTGTGTTGTCGTACCTATACAACAACAAAATGAACCTTGTTTAAAATACCTCCGCTTAAGAATTCTATTAGGAGCGAGTCTGGATGGTTCATGATTCCCCAACATTGCTTAGCCAACAAAGTCCGGTCACGAAATTGGTCACTAGTCTTATTTTGTGATGTAGTTGGTAGTCGAGGTTGATTTCTTCATCAATTAGATGTCAACAATGCATTTATTCACATTGATGTATAAGAGGAAGTTTATATGGAGATTCTACAAGGTTTTCGTGCCCTTGATGACACGATGGTATGTCATCTTCACAAGTCTTACGATCTTTAACAGGCGTTCCATAAGTGTTATAAAAACATTACAATTGCATTGTTCGAGTATGGGTTTCGACCTTCGCCGACTAATCACTCCTTGTTTCTCTACAATTAAATGGGGAGCACATTTGTTGTAGCGCTCATTTACATTGATGACGTACTTCTAACTAGCAGGGAGCTAGCTTTTATGACAAGAGTTAAGCAATTTCTCAATAATCGGTTCAACATTAAGGATCTTGGAAATTCTTTGTTATTTTGTTGGCCTCTCATGAATTGTTCTAAGTCAACGTAAATACTACTTGTGGAAATTAATTCTGGAGGATGGTGGTGGTACAGGGCTCTCGTCCAATTGCTTTTTCCCATCGAGCATAATGGTCAACTGACTTGACCCAATGAAGTTGTTTTGGTTGATTCGTCTTCGTATTGTTGTCTGGTAAGACGAATACTCTACTATACTATCACACATCCTCATATACCCTATGGTGTGAACATCCTGAGTCAATTTATTCATGCACTAGTCGAATTTCTCATACTTATGTATGTAAGGAAATTGGCTGCATAACGTAATAAACAAATCTCAGACATTTTCCATGAATGTAAAACTCACATACAGTGAGGAAGAACCACGTTAAATCAAAGTGTTCTTGCTTTTATCACTCAAATCTTACAATGGCAGGGTTGTGCATATTCAAACTCATGTGACTTCTTTTCGAGAGATCATGCAAGTAAAATGTTACAAAATCCAATTCCAAAACTTCTCTCCACCACAACTCTAGTATTATAGGACCAACTCAATTTTTTGACAAAAACTACTTCAAGCATGCTTTGTCCTCCAAACTCGTGGAGGGAAAACGCGGGAACACAGACGGGGAATAACAAATAAGGGAGTGGATTAGTAGCTTACTAACTTCACTGATTTACATGATTTGATTAATCATTAATGAACACGCATCCTAGGTTTTTTAATGACATGTGGTATGCTTTAACGCACTTAATAAACAAACCAACAATACCCAAAAAAAAAAAAAGTTGGTGGGTCTCAAAGCCCAAACCGAACTAACAATTTGGTTACGATACATACGTCCGACGCGAAAATTGCAGAGGTTTGTTCGACGAAGAAAAATAAATAACAGGCGCATGGTATGTGAAGAATTCAGAGAAAATCAATGAGCAATAACCACGCCACTAAACTACTAGATTAGCCGGCTGTTAGGTTCTCTATATAATGAGATTACTGGAGAAAACCCTTCTACCGGAAATCTGCATTCTATTCTTTTTCTTCTCATCGACCATGTTGCCGGCGGCGAGTATCTCGGCGTTTACACTATGCGGGCTCCCTCCGACGTCCACCGTCCTCCTTTCTCATCGCCCGCCTCTCCCTCCCCGGGGACGTCGTCTCAGGGTCAGAATTGTGGTAGCTTCAGCTGCCGGCAGCAGCAGGCCGGCGGCGGCCATGGGGAAGCAGCCGCCTCACGTCTCTATGGAGGTCGGGGACGACGGCGTGGCGGTGGTCAAAATCTCTAACCCTCCGGTTAACGCTTTAGCTGTTCAAAGTACGTAACTATGTATATAAATATAATGCATCTCATGAGCTCTCTCTCTCTCTCTCTCTCTCTCTCTCCCTGTTACGTGCATTTGCATTCATCCTCCATTTTCCTGCAGCCACGTACTGATTACCGGCGATACGTAAGATTGGAGGTTTCGTGCGTGCATGCATGATGGCGGGTTTTATGATTGTTATAACGGTAGGGTTGCAAATGAGCCGAGCTGAGCCGAGTTTTACTCCAGGTTGAGCTTGACTCGTTAACAAATGAGCTGAGCTCGAGCTCGAGCCATTTATTAACGAGCTGAGTCGAGTTCGAGCTAGGCTTGTGTACCAAATTTCCTAAATCGTATTTGATACATTCATTTTGTATGTCGTGTATGGTACGTACATGTTATTGATGTGACGACAAAAACAAAAATCAAACGTTCAACATGAATTAATCTTATTTTATAATTTGTAGGTGTCATATTGTTTAGTTAATAAATTTCAACTGGTTCAAATCATGTTATGTCATAGTATCGAAACAATTTTGTACATAATTTCTTTATAGAATTAAAAAATAAGGCATATTTTCTTATATATATATGTTCAACATGTTAAACTTCACGTGATGTGATATATATAATTTAACAATCCCATGAATTATGAAAGTCCGAATTAGATCGATCGTCCATAAGTCGGTGATCAAGTTGGCCCTCAAACCACAATGTTGAGACATCTCATGAGCTCTAAATGAGTCAAATCACGAGTTGAGCTCAACAAGCCACCGAGTCGCGAGCTAGTTCGTGAGCTGAACAAAGCTAAACTCAAGCTTGGATCGTTAGTAAACGAGTTGAGTTTCGAACGAGTTTTTCCCGATTCGAGCCTCAAGTTGCTCGCGAGTAGCTCTGCTCATTGCGGCCCTAGTTATAAGAACCGAACTGGATCACCGAATGGATTAATAGAACCACTAAATCAGTTGTAAATAGTAGTTCGGTTCGTTTGATTTGGCGGTTAGGAAATGGACCGAACATTTTTTTGATGCTTTGACATGAAACCAGATGAACCACACTCTGATTTGGCGGGTCTATTAGTTCACTACTTTAACCACACAAAAAAAAATTACGAAACAAAATTTGACGTAAACTAATATCATCCAACTTGAATTAATGATTTTATTTATGCTTTCTTTTCTTTGATTTCTCAGCCTCCTTGTCAGTTTTATATGCTCACTAGTGACTACTACCTATTGCCACCAAAATTACTATCTTGAATTGATTTCTTTAGCGAGATAGTTTGAATTGTTTGTTAAATTTTTTTTTTTTAGATTATATGAATTTGAAATTGTTTATGGTGGATGATAAATTTAGTTCTAAATTAGTGTGTTATATGTCTTTTATGCTATAGCACATGAACGGTTGTATCAAGGGTTCTATAACAGTTAAATGTTGAACCATAATTTACTAATTTTTCGAGTTCAAACATGCGGTATGGATCTTAAAACATATTGTATCTGTGTTGCCTACTGATTACTTACTTGGATTTTGTGGTGGCGCAGTAATCAATGGATTGCGGGAGAAGTTCGACGAGGCCACCCAACGTAACGATGTCAAGGCTATCGTTCTAACTGGTGACTATATATATATGTCTATCTTGATTAATAAGCTTCCTTGGTAGTCTGATTTTTCACGTACTCCTGTTGCTACTTAAAAGTGTTAATTTATTATGGAAGTCTTGCTTATATTAACATTAATGGTTTAAATATTACCTGCATGAACAAATTTGAGGTCTCCTAACTCTTACATAATACATATTTGTATTTCACGTAACTAAAAAGACAATGATTCTCAAACTCATCCTTGTGTTATATTTTCCTTCCGTTACCTAAATTGAACGTTTGACCATCTGACATGATTCATTCCATCATGAAAAAAAAGTTACAGTTAACCTTTGAGGTCTCTAAACTTAAAGTTGAAGAAACATTCTTAAGTTGATTTGATGTTTTCATGTAGATCAATCAACCAACAACTCGATCTACTAATGATTTTTATATGAAGAATTGTAACAGAATTTAACTAGCTCGTGGTTGTACTTAGACCTTAGTGCTCATTTTGTTTGACAAACTCTTCCTTTCTGATTATAGGCAAGGACGGCAAATTTTCCGGCGGGTTTGACATCAACGTGATACAGAATGTTCATCGAACCGGTATTCACTAACATGCATACCAAGTATTTTGTGCTTAAACTCGTGACGTTCGACCGTGTAGAATCGATCGATGAGTGATGACCAATGTGTACGTGTATCAGTGTTCACCAATTCCTGCTATTTGGTAATGCAGGGGATGTTTCGTTTATGGATGGTGTTTCTGTTGATCTCGTTGTCAACACAATTGAAGGTTTGTGCTCTAGTCTCCATTGAACAATTTCTGGGTTTTCCTGCCGGTGACATTTTGTAACAGTTTGTTAAATACTGTTTTGCAGAATGCAAGAAACCTGTTGTTGCTGCTCTGCAAGGATTGGCATTGGGAGGAGGCTTAGAACTAGCCCTGGTTTGTGGCCTCTGTCGACCTTTTATTTTGATCCTTCTAACTCTTCTTCTTCTTCTTCTTCCAATACAATATCTCACCCTCGTTGATCATTTTCAGGGATCTCATGCTCGTATTGCTGCACCAGGAACTCAACTCGGCTTGCCAGAACTGTCACTTGGCGTGATTCCTGGCTTTGGAGGTCCAAAAACACTTTACTGCAGAATCCAGACCTGAACATGTTGATTCATGGATTTTGTAATGATGTTGTTATGTTGTTCTATTAGGCACTGAAATTTGTCTTTTGAACTTTGTTTTCCTGAAGGTACACAGAGGCTGCCAAGGCTTGTAGGGCTGCCAAAGGCCATTGAGATGATGCTAGTACGTTCTTCTTCTGGTTCTAATAACTCGAGTTGTTGGAACAAGTCTACATATGAATCTTAATCACTTCCTTACACGCCCCTTCAGATAAAATCCAACTCATGAGCTTAATTGTATCGTTTTACAGCTATCCAATCTGATCTTCTCTGAAGAAGGAAAAGAGCTTGGTCTCATCGATGCTATTGTGTCTTCACAAGAACTGCTGAAAGTATCTCGAGAATGGGCTCTGGACATTGCTGGCAGGCGAAGGCCGTGGGTTCGTTCCCTTCACAAGAGTGACAAGATGGGTTCCCTCTCTGAGGCCACCCAGGTGCTGAAAGCTGCTAGGCTGCAGGCCAAGAAAACCGCCCCGAATCTGCCTCAGCATCTGGGATGTCTCGACGCGATCGAGGATGGCATTGTTCATGGAGGGTACAGTGGGGTTCTCAAGGTTACTGAAAAGAACTTTTAAGATCCTCTGATGTAGTTGTTTCTGTTGAGAAAAATCTATGATGCACATGTGTGTTCTGGAATTGCTGATGGATGAAAGGGATTTGACAGGAGGCAGAGGTGTTCAAGGATTTGGTGTTATCCGAAACCTCGAGGGGCCTAGTTCATGTGTTCTTCGGCCAACGTGCTACATCGAAGGTGCCTGGTGTGACCGATGTTGGCCTCGAACCGAGGCAGATCAAGAAAGTGGCTGTCATAGGTGGAGGACTAATGGGTTCTGGGATAGCTACTGCCCTCATTACAAGCAACATTCATGTTGTTCTGAAAGAAGCCAGCTCTGAGTATCTTCACAGAGGGATGAAAACAATCGAAGGCAACATTCGAAACTCGGAGAAAAGAGGGAAGTTGACAAAGGGTCAGGCTGACAGAGCTCTCTCATTGCTCAGAGGCGCATTGGACTATTCGCAGTTCGACGATGTGGACATGGTCATCGAGGTAAAGTGCTCGGTCTGATCATTCTGTCATCTTGAAGTTTATGATGGAAAATCTGCAGTCCATTATCATAGAGTAGTTGTTTTGATACAAGGGTTTCTCTAACATTTTGCAGGCAGTTACTGAAAACATACCTTTGAAACAGAAGATATTCAATGAACTTGAAGAGGTCTGCCCTGCACATTGCATTCTGGCAACAAATACATCCACCGTCGACCTGAATGTGATTGGAGAGAATACTACGTCGCAGGAGCGTATCGTAGGAGCACATTTCTTCAGGTTTGATTTTTCAAATTGTGTTTTTCGTCCTAATAGCTCGAGTTGTTGGAAGAGGCTGCTCTGCCGAGACTGATCTCAATTTTTTTTTAATGGACAGCCCTGCTCACATAATGCCACTGCTGGAGATAGTGAGGACGGACAAGACCTCTGCACAGGCCATTCTTGATCTGATGACAGTGGGCAAGGCTATGAAGAAAGTCCCCGTCGTCGTGGGCAACTGCACCGGTTTCGCTGTCAATCGGACCTTCTTCCCCTACTCTCTGAGTGCACATATACTAGCCCATCTAGGCGTGGACATTTTTCGAATCGACAGGGTCGTCAGCAGCTTCGGCCTCCCCATGGGACCTTTCCAGTAATTACCTTCTTCCTCAAGGCTTGGATTTCTTTGATGTTCTGTAGTCTGTACACTAATCTTTTTGTCTGTTGACTGTATGTGAACTGAAAGGCTCCAGGATCTAGCTGGGTATGGAGTTGCTGTGGCTGTCAGCAAGCAATTCGAGGGCGCGTTCCCTGAGGATCGATCGTTCAAGACGCCTCTGATCCATCTCTTGATTGCGAGCGGACGAGATGGTAGTAAACAATTACAGCAGCTTGTTGTCACCTTGACATTGTAGACTAGTTACAGTACTCAAATGTTACCTTTGTACCCTCCTCTTTTGCTTTGCCAGGCAAGAACAATGGGAGAGGATACTACATTTACGAGAAGGGGAGCAAGCCGAAACCCGATCCTTCGGTGCTACCCATCGTCGAGGAGTCTAGGAAAATCGCCAACATTATGCCCAATGGAAAGGTTGATTCATGTCTTACAGAACTTTTTAGCATTTCCCAGTAGCTTAATGATCAAGTAACAGATTTTATATGGGATTCTGACATGACTAATTTATATTGCCTGTGACAGTCGATCGATGTTAGCGATCAAGATATTCTGGAAATGATCCTGTTCCCAGTGGTGAACGAGGCTTTTCGCGTGCTCGACGAGAACGTGGTGGTTCGAGCATCGGACCTCGATGTAGCCTCCGTGCTTGGGATGGGTTTCCCATCTTATCGGTATGCTTCATAGTTCAATCATCTGTTGTTACCAAACCAAATGTTAGCAGTTACCGGTTCATAAACCGTAAAGAATAACGAATAATACGACTCCAATGGTTCGATTCTGGTAATCGGAGTCATCTTAACCCGCCCTGATCGAGCTTGTTTGTTGCACTGAGGCAGGGGTGGGATCATGTTTTGGGCGGACTTGGTCGGAGCGAAACACATATGTGAAAGGCTGACGAGGTGGTCGGAGTTGTACGGTGGGTTCTTCAAGCCGTCGAGCTACCTGGAAGAGCGAGCAGCAAGGGGAATTCCATTGGTAAGCAGTTCAAAGTTTTGGCTCTGTTTGTTTACATAGTGATGATGCTACATTGTGCATGAATTGAAAATGTGCGCATCATAGTTAACAGATAAATATAACAGTCTTTCTTCTTGCTTCTTTCTGCTCTTCTACAGAGTGCTCCTGCTCCGTCTCCCTCTTCTTGATCGTCGCAGTCGACAAGGTCTCGCGCCTGTAGACAGACGAGACGACAGCAGCAGCAGCAGCACAGAAGTTTCTGGCATTGTCAAGTCAAGCAATGCAACAAAATGGTTGGAACATGTATCTGAATTTCATTTACACCAGCAGCAATAAAAGAGTAGATATGGTTTAGAAACCCTGTGTTATTCATGTAATGAACCAGTTGATCCCAATAACTCGAGTCGTTGAAAGAAGGTTATGCTGGATTTTATATCACTCTCTAACAATTCATTCTACATTGCTTGTTGTGTCATTCGTATCAAGGCAGTTTACTTCTTGCACCTGCTCGTCATATTTGACACTCCAAAGTCCAAATTCACGTGCTTTTTCTTCAACCTCTTTCTCTCTTTCATATTTGGAATGGTGGAAATGCAGATGATGGTTCTATGAAGAAAAAAAAGACACAGGGCCCAGGGTTGTTAAGCTCAGCTAAGATTTAGTAAAGGGAAAATGACGAATAACAGATGCCACTTTTGCTCAGAAAGTTTCTTTCTCACTTCCCTCGAGGTTCCTTGAAAGAGCCATTTTCCGACTTAGCCAAACTTCACACCAGATGTGAAGTCAACGAACCCTCCCCGGTCCACATCTACAAACGGAACTTGGCCGGAAATTGGGAATATCTATGGAAAAAAAAAAGTAAATATATTGAATTCATAGGGTCCAATTTTCGGCCAAGTTCCGTTTGTGGATGTGGACCGGAGAGGAGGAATAGCAAGTTACAAGAATATACAAGACCAAGAAGGTCAGGAAGAAGAAAATAGAGCAAAACGATGGTCAATAAGATGCTGAACAATATATTTACCAATTTGTCGAAAGTTAAATTTTATTAAGGTGAATATGATATAAATTTCTTCCTATAAGTTAATGATTTTCCAAAATTGAGCCATTTCGTGGCACGCAACTCCCAAGGACGACGAGATTTATTGACATTTTTTTTTTTGTAACAAGTATATACGAGCAAAATGGAACTCGAATGAGCGCTCACACACTCCAAATTCTTAAACATCACATGGAGTGAGATATACCATTTAACAAACTTATAAATATCAAGAATTTAACTCATGAGATATAGATTAATTTGCTCATAAGTCCATAGTCGTATGTTGGCACATTAGCCAAATTTTTGAAACATCTCATTAGCTCAAAATGAGGCAAGTTACGAGTTAACCTCAACATGCTACTGAATTAAGTTGATTCTTTAAACTCGCAAAATGAATAAGACTTACCTCACACTCGACTATTAATAAACAAATGAAAATTCAAACAGAATCTCCCCGAATCGAATATCGAGACGCTCGCGAACATCACGCTACAACATTCCAGTGCATTATGATTTATGATCATAGTCGAATCACTTTCAAATTATTGGTTAAACTCGATTAACCGTGAGAGGGGAAGGCGCAATCAGGGGTAATAAAGTCTTTGCATTTTATTTTCGACGACCACGGTCGTCGGGAGATAGAGACTGACACCGAGCCCAGCCTTCCCCGCACTTCTATAAATAAATAAAAACGATCCCGGCGTTTACACTTGACGACGCGCTCCCGACAACCACCGTCCGTCTTCCTCCTTCTCCTTCTTCAAAACTCTCAGATATTCAGAGTCCAAATTTTCCTGCAGCTACTACCAGCCCCGGCCATGGCGAAGCCTCACGTGTCTATGGAGGTCGGCAGCGATGGCGTCGCGGTGATCGCCATCTTCAATCCTCCAGTTAACGCTTTAGCTATTCCAAGTAACGCCTCGCTCTCTCTCTCTCTCTGTTACGTTTCATCCTCCGTTTCCCCGCCACTGATTCTCCGGTTGATCTCTTGCAATTTGAGATTCGCGGTGACGATTTTCTGTTAAGGTTACTGATTGCTGCTTGAATTTTTCCTTTGGGATCGGCCGCGCAGTAATCAACGGATTGAAGGAGAAGTTCGACGAGGCTACCCGGAGAAACGACGTCAAGGCTATCGTACTGACTGGTGAGTATCTTCCTTCTCTGCGCCTTGTTCTGTAGTTAGTTTTGTTCGAATTTAGAAGTTTCTGGAGTGGTAGGTCTGAGAAATGGTGAATTGCTTCCGATCCTGTGCGAGCTTGTACTGTTTCATAAGCATAATTGAAGGTTCAAAAGTTTAAGGCTACTCTATGAAGAAAAAACTTATGGTGTTTTAGGGCCTTGATGATGTAGTTTGATCATTATTGAATTTTCCTCTGTGGTTATAGGCAAGGGTGGCAGGTTTTCTGGCGGTTTTGACATCAATGTGTTCCAGAAGGTTCATGCGACTGGTATCGTCTAATATGCATATGAACTTTTGTGCTAATTTATGGTGGTCGATTGGTCAAATTGATAGGTGATCAATGTGATCACTGTTCAATTATTTGGTACCGCAGGGGATGTTTCAGCCATGCCTGATGTTTCTGTTGATCTCGTTGTAAACACCATCGAAGGTTCGTGTTCTGTATTCTAAATTTGTGATTCCTTTTTCATGATTGATGAGAGTTATCGAGCCAATTTATAGAAATGGAGTTATAGAGTGGTCCGCTGAATAGCTTACGTGACAGCTTGTTTTATGTTTCCATTTTACGTTGATCACAGATTGCAAGAAACCTGTTGTTGCTGCTGTGGAAGGATTGGCGTTGGGAGGAGGCTTAGAACTAGCACTGGTTTGTGTTAATATCTACTAGTCTGGTCGTTTATTTTGATCTTTCTAACTTTTTTTAGAGTTCTCATCCTTGTAAATCATTTCAGGGATCTCATGCACGTGTTGCTGCACCAAGAACTCAACTTGGCTTGCCAGAACTGACACTTGGCGTGATTCCTGGTTTTGGAGGTCCAAAATACTTTATATGAACACTCATAGAATCAGACCTGTAGTTGATTACACATTTCTAATGTTTGGTTCTATGAGGCATTGAGAATTTAGTTCTTTTTCTGAAGGTACACAACGACTTCCCAGGCTTGTAGGGCTGCCAAAGGCCATTGAAATGATGCTAGTAAGTTCTTCTATTCATTGCTGAAAAGAAATGTGTAAATGTACTCCTACTTCAGAATCACTGGTGGTAGTCAACTCCGAAAGTAGCGTGGCAAACTTCGTCATTTTTATTTCCCCAATAAATTGTCATATCTGGTACTAAAATATGCTGTGTCTATACTCCCCTGAGTTATGTGCAGAATTTTGTGGTACATTCAAAAGTTCAAAAAGCTCAAACAAAAATTTAAATGTCCGATTTTGGGTGCTACTTCCACGTTACTCTGCTGAAACGTTAACACTTGAATTTTATTCTTTACAGCTGTCCAAGCCAATCCTCTCTGAAGAAGGACAGAAGCTTGGTCTTATTGATGCTCTTGTCTCCTCTGAAGAGTTGCTGAATGTATCACGACAATGGGCTCTAGATATTGCTGAAAGGCGCAAACCATGGGTTCGTTCCCTTCATAAGACTGACAAGATTGGTTCCCTCTCTGAGGCCCGTCAAGTACTGAAAGCTGCTAGGCTACAAGCCAAGAAGACCGCCCCAAATATGCCTCAGCATCTGGGATGCCTTGATGTTATTGAGGATGGCATTATTCATGGAGGCTACAACGGGGTTCTGAAGGTATTAAAAGGCTTTATGATATGCAACACTCTGGTTCTGTGCAATATCATCATTTTTTCCCATTAAAATTATGCCTGTGGTATTAGTTTGGCTTGTTCTTGACATCTTATGTGCCTAAATTAAGTGTTCCTCTGTTATGAATTATGAGCTCAAAGCAGTGCAGTGTTTGACCTTTGTTATGTGTGTGGGTGATGGACCGGTGTGGTTGTTTCTGTGAAAAATCTATGATGTTCCTATATGTAGCACTGTTAATGGATGAAAGGTTTTGACAGGAGGCAAGAGTGTTCAAGGAGTTGGTATTATCAGAGACTTCTAGGGGTCTAGTTCATGTATTCTTTGGCCAGCGCGCTATATCAAAGGTGTGTTTTGTAAATCCCATATGTAGTTGGTTTTAGCAGAGATGTCCTCTGTTACACTTCTTTTTTGTCTCTAATAATCAGACACCAAACTATTGTGCTGAACTATAAGAGATTTATTTTTATGACACAGTAAAAGTGGGAGAACTAAATCTTATCTTGCCATTTTGACCTTGACAGGTGCCTGGTGTCACTGATGTTGGCCTTAAACCTAGGCAGATAAAGAAAGTGGCTGTTATTGGTGGCGGGCTAATGGGTTCTGGAATAGCTACTGCTCTCATTACAAGCAACATATATGTTGTTCTTAAAGAAGTCAACTCTGATTATCTTCTCAAAGGGACAAAAACTATAGAAGGTATCTCATTTTTAAGCCTGGTCTGAAAGCTCTCCCTGCAATATGATGATTCCGAATTTCCGATAGAGCCCATGTGGTGTTAAGTGTATGGCCATAGTCAGTAACAGGCAGTTACGTATTTGCAATTGTAGGAAATATTCGGAACTTGGAAACAAGAGGAAAGTTGACAAAGGATAAGGCCAACAAAGCTCTCTCAATGCTCAAAGGTGCTTTAGACTATTCAGACTTCAATGATGTGGACATGGTCATCGAGGTAAAATAGTGCTTAGGCTCATTCTGTCATCTTGGAGTTATTATGGATATCTGGAGTTCAGACTGGTTCACGACGTTATAGAGTGGGGACTTGTGAAGTTGTTGTACCATTGTTCTAGTCTTGCCTGTGTATATTTTCTTTGGAGATGATTTGGATCATCAGATATCTTTTAGCTTCTGGTAAGTAGTTGTTTGATTCAATTTATAAAACTTGCAGGCAGTTATTGAGAATATTCCCTTGAAACAAAAGATATTTGGAGAACTTGAAAAGGTTTGTCCTGGTCATTGCATTTTGGCAACAAACACATCCACCATCGACCTAAATGTGATCGGAGAAAAGACTAACTCACAGGACCGAATCATTGGAGCACACTTTTTCAGGTTTAATTTTTTATTTCAACCTTTCTTGATTTATTGAAGACTGTTTTGATCAGTTCTTTTGCACAATCCTTAAAAGGTTGTTTCCCGACATGCTCTTCTTTTTATGGACAGCCCTGCTCATATAATGCCTCTCCTGGAGATAGTGAGGACGAACAAAACCTCTGCACAAGCAATTCTTGATCTCATGATAGTTGGGAAAGCTATCAAGAAAGCTCCTGTTGTCGTGGGCAACTGCACTGGTTTCGCAGTCAATCGGACTTTTTTCCCCTACTCACAGAGTGCACATATATTAATCCATCTAGGTGTTGACGTCTTCAGAATCGACAGGGTCATCAGCAGCTTCGGCCTCCCTATGGGACCTTTCCAGTAATTCCATTGTCCTTTCCTTCTCAAATCTGCTTCGCATGGTTTCGATGGCTGACTTTCAATATAATCTTTTTATCTGTTATCTGCATGATTTGAAGGCTCCAGGATTTAGCTGGATATGGAGTTGCTGTGGCAGTGAGCAAAGAATTTAATAGTGCATTCCCTGATCGCACATTTAAGACACCCCTGATTGATCTGCTGATTAAGAATGGACGAAATGGTACTACTAACAGTTACATGTTGGCAATGTAGTTACTGGTTGCATCTATTTGAGGACTGCACTCATCTTACTTTGTACCATCTTTTGCTTTGCTAGGCAAGAACAACGGAAGAGGATACTACGTCTATGAGAAGGGAAGTAAGCCAAAACCTGATTTTTCAGTTCTACCCATCATTGAGGAGTCTAGACGTGTTGCCAATATGATGCCCAATGGAAAGGTTCATTTCTTTTAGAACTTCTTTCAGATAAAAAGATGTGAGAACCAAATAGTTTTCTCCGTGGCTTAATAGACTAAAAACCTGATATGCGTTTGGCTTTGGCATAATTATTGCCTGTGGCAGCCAAACAATGTTACTGATCAAGACATCTTGGAGATGATCCTCTTCCCAGTGGTGAACGAGGCATGCCGAGTACTCGACGAGGACGTGGTGGTTCGAGCATCAGACCTCGATATAGCATCTGTGCTTGGGATGAGCTTCCCATCTTATCGGTGAGTCTCTCTGGTTCCTCCGAGCTTTAGGGTGATTGCTTTGGCAAAAACAGAAGTAACTAATAATCCAGTTGGACTAAAAGCTACAATAAACACATTCTTTCAATCCAACTATTTACTATAGATCTCGCAAATTATTTAAATCAGTTAATCAAAAGCTGAACCAAACACACGCTTCAGCCTGTTTTTGGTCAATTGGAAGTCCCTCATTGAATCGTTTGTTGCGTGTGGCAGTGGTGGGATCGTCTTTTGGGCGGACCTGGTTGGGGCAAAGCATGTATATGATAGGCTATCGAGGTGGTCGGAGTTGTATGGTGGGTTCTTCAAGCCATCGAGCTACTTGGAAGTGCGAGCGGCAAGGGGAATTCCATTGGTAAGTAGCAAAACTTCCAAAGCTTGGAACAATGTGCTGTTGTGTTCCGGCTTTTACATAATGCTTGATTGTGCTTGAAGAGATAATGCGTATTAACCGCGCTCTGTCTTTCTTCTTGGTTCTATCCTTTTGTTCTGCAGAGCGCTCCTGCATCATCTCTCACTTCCTCGCCGAAGTCTCGCCTGTAGACGACAACAACAACTCCACACGTTGCAGCCATCGTCAAGTCAAACGCAATAAAATGTTGGGAAATGTATTTGAGATCCTCGTACCCAACAAGGAAGGATAGATACGGTTTAGAAACCTTTGGACTTTGATAGATAAAAATGGGCAATGACTTGAGGTGCTATCATCATTTTATCGATCGATGTCTTGGTCATTGTAGAAGATAGATTTGGCGGAAGAAATAAGTGCAAGTATAGCCGGATTGAACTAGTTTGAGTATCAATTTCTGGAACAAATGCAACGGATTTTGTTGCCTTCCTCCTCTCTGCAAAACTTATTTGAGCAGATATTTTAGATCGCTCATTCTATCATCTGCTCTTGGTATTAGTTCTGCCCATGGAATTTGGTATTGTAGTGGATCAACGCGGTTGGACCGGAATTGTAGTGGATCAACGCGGTTGGACCAGAAATTGTGCGATGCACGTAAGTAGAATAAGTTTGTGTCGACTGATGCAACACAGCAAAACTAACAATCCAGAATAGCTGTGCGATCGGAGTAAAAACCCATGAGGGATCTGTTGCTAGTGCTACTGCTGCGAAACAGAGGGTTTGGGGCGGCAGAGGATATGACTTGAATCTCGACGACATCGGTGTTCTAAAGAACCCAATCCGTAAAGCGCAGGCACGCAAGATCCGATCACACCCCATGGGAAAATGGTTCGATTTTACCTTTGTAGGAAATACTTGGAATGAGGGTGGATGCCATTGACATCAACGAATATGGAGTTTACAATGGATACCAAGATCATCCTAAATCCTAATCACAAGATGGAGATGGAGAACAGGTAACAACCAGGATCTTGACCGAAACTTGTCTACGAGTGATTCAGAACACCATTCGGGGGGGAAAGATTTAGCGGAGATGGAGAACCGCATCATCCCACCTTGGTTGCCAATGGTGGATTCGAGGATGCTGGCCGTCGACAGACAGCTATAGCACCGTCGCCCCCAATTCGCGTACCACGTGAGACCAAGTTGCGGAATCTCCTTCGTAGAAGCTCACTGCTTGCATCATCACTGAACCGTCGAAAGTACAAGCTGGATGGAATGGAAAATTGTTTCTTTACATACTAACAATTCAGACACATGAAAACGGAAGACTTGCCCCGCATCACAGCAATCAAAGAAGAAACTGCCCCAAAACAAAAAGAGGAAAACTGAAGGAGACGATGATCGTAGGTGACCCAAATGCAGCAACCAAATCCCAAGTTATGTGCTACCGATCCATGATCAACAACTATATATATTGCAACAAGGAGAAGAAACCCATCTTAAGCTCAACTGCAACACATCTGTGGTCTTTAGCAGGGTGGATCCAGGCTACTAAATTTTGCACCAACGAGGAACAAGAAAGAGTTCAACAGATGATTGGGGAAAAGGGGGAGAAATCTTTGTGAGATATGTACATCAAGAACATCAAAAGAGAAGAGCAAAAGGCAAATCCAGCTCTGACCTCAGCTCAAGCTCCAGCTGCTGTCAACTCAAACAGGAGGGATGTTCGAAAAGGAGAAGCCTTTATACCCTTTGTACGCGTAATAAGCAATCCTGGTGTAATAGAATCCCGGTATGAACAGAACCACCCCCAGTATCACGAAGAACAACCCTGATTCATCATCATCACCATCACCATCATTCATCAACTGGGTTCAATCAAAATTACTAAAACCCAAGCCGTAGAAATCCAAACCCTAATTAAAACCCCTCAAAGAAATCATGCCCAAAAACGATGATGAAGTGATTGGGGATACGAAAGGAAGGAAGGATCTTACCATGAGCTCTGTCGCCGCCGACTCTGTTGGAGGTCATGAAGAAGCCGACGACGATACCGATGACGCCGAAGACGAGGAGGGAGACGGCGAGTCCGATCTCCTTGATGGGAGGACGGTTGGTGGCGGTGTACGATCCGTCCATCATTAGATCGTCGTCGGTGATCGAGAACGCGTGGTCGACGTACGCCATTGTTTCCGCTTCACTTCTTTGCTCCGCCGCTGGCCGGTACTGTGGCTGCTGCTGCTGCTGCTGCTGGAACGACGGGAAGTTTTCTGCAAAGCACAGATCTTGAAGAGGGGAAAGTTGTGAAGGGAAGGAGAATCAGAAGATAGTTAGGGATTTGTGAACGTTTCTTTCGGGGTTTTTGGAGTATGAAAGCTGCCTTTGGTTTGCGTGTGACTGCGACGCTTTGAGAGACTTTTCACTTTTGCAAAGGAGAGAGAGTCTATCTTCTGCAGTTTGTATCAGTTCTTCTGCCCATGGATACGGTACCGTATTGCAATCGATCCGTTGGGCCAAAAAGTTATCCTCCTGGCCTGGGACGGATTGGAATGAGGGGGTGGCATTCGGTCGGTTCATTCGAACCCGAACGGAACCAGAGCAAAAACACTACTGTATTGGAAAATATTTGTGAAGTACCGCTATTTTGAGAATTTTCTTTTGAAAACGTCTATTTATGAAAACAAATCCTTCAAATTGCCATTCAAATACCGCTATTTTGAGAATTTTCTTTTAAAAAACGTCTATTTATGAAAACAAATGCCATTCAAAATACCTTGGATGCCCACAAAATGGGGATAACTCCAAGAAGGAGACTTTCTCTTATCTGATTGAGAGAATGGAAAACAAAGGGGAAGCCTAGAAGAATTTGTTCCTTGTCTTTTGGAGGCAAGGAAGTTGTGTTATCCATGCAACTTCGACTTTCGTCGTTAGTTATTTTCTTCTCCTAGATGACCTTACGACGAGAGAATGAATTTTATTCCGAAAAAGATGTTTCTGAACGAAAAAACAACCCACCGGCACAAATGGAAGATCTTTTGTGCCTTCCACGAGTTTAAGGAGGCTTGGGATTCAAGAGCTTTAAGGAATTCAACACCTCTCCTTGCCACCAGTGTGACGAAGGCTGTTCAATTCATGTTCCAAGACAATTAGTTGATTAATTCCTTTTTAGCTCTTTGCTCTGTGTTCTCTTCTAACAATGGTGAATAAGATTAGGCGGGCTGAAAATCGCTACAGATCTAAGTTATATAAAAACAAAGAAGGAAGAATCAGCCCATGTAAAAACATGACTCCCTCCCCTCTGCAATTGCAAAGGCTCTCTCTTTCACTCTAAAATTTACAGACTCTCTGAACATAACAAAGCTCATTTACTACGTTATGAACAATTATTCTTTAATCAGCTCCCTGCTGAGAGTCTTCCGGCTCTCTCTTGCTTTGCCCCTCCAAATTGCCAGCCCCATCAAGCTGATCATCACCCAATACACAGACCTCGTCGGGGGACTGCCACCGGGATGCTGTCGTTCGAAATTAGCTGTGTAACTTTTGTGCAGAGGACATTCTTTTCAGGATCTTCGTCATGACTTTGGCTTTCCATCAGTGTTTTGTAGGGGTGTAGTACTCTTAGGAAGATCGACTGATGTGGCGATCGTAGAAGTAACCGATTGAGGTGCTCTGGCTGCTGTCTGTGGGGCGATGACATTTTGCGCTACCCCATTGCTGAAGGGCCCACCAGTACCGCTGTGTTGAATACCTCCTGCCACAGCTTGATTAGTCGCCATCGTCGCTGTGCCATTGCTGAGCATGTATCTCGGATCCATGGACTCCGATCTGGCTATTGATGAACACACTATTTCTGTTCGGATATGGAAGGAGGATCAGCGAAATGCCAGCATAACATAATGACAGCGAAACAAAGAGAAGATATAGATAAGAGGTTCACCTTTCTCCTCTCCTAACATGATGAGGTTTTGTAGACAATCTCGGAACTTTGTCAGTATGACTCTTTCCTGCTCCACATAAGTTTCTGTTGTCGCACCTTGTCCATTGTCAGGCAACTGCAATGCTGTGATCCCACCATGGCCAGTCAAGCCATTGGGTGATGAAGCTGCCATGAACATAGTGTCTTGCTCATCACACATTAGAGCTAAAGTTCCGGGTGACATTGGCCTCGACTTCGAAGCATCCCCGCCGTCTGACATGGAACCATTATCAGGACCTGAATTATCAACCGGATTAGCACTGGGGTAACCATCATCAGCAACGCTTTTCTCGGCATCTGTTTCTCTCGGGTTCTGCTTTTCTTGACTTGATGCTGCAAGAGAAGCTTCAACCTGGCCTTGCACCTGCTTTTCTTGCTCGCTTATTTGCTCTGCATAGCAAAATTCCACATTCTTATGATTGGGAGAAGCAAATCCACTCACGCATGATATAAATGGACTGTTAGAGGGCACCAGACGAGGGAAGCTAGCCAACATTGCATATAATACTCCCACAAACTACCAACGAAATCAAACTTAGGCATCTGTAATCTATTGATGACACTTGAAATCTGGTAATTACAAAAGTTCCGAAACATTAAGCAAAATTGTAGGTCGATTTGCTTCTCTAATAATCATGGCACCCACCAATCCTTGGCCAAACAGCCAGGTGGTCATTGACAAATAAATCCAAATTTAGCAGGCTAACCTGTTCTATGATCAGCGAGTCTTAGGAGAGCACAAGGTTAAAAAGGGAAATTATATAATAGACCTGTGGACAAAGGAAAAAGCTGACCATCCAAAGGGCAGAGAGACAATGTGAAAAATTTCTAGAAGCTCATTCTTAAATCCGAGTTTACTTCATACGAACGTGTATAAACCAAACCCTTTATGTACAACAGAACAAGGAAAAATTCTTGAAAGACTTAAAATGTAGTTGGAAAAATACGTGACAATGAAGTTGTGGACAAGTGGAGATAAATTAGCCAGGATTCATCATCCAGAAAAACAGATATTGAAGAATGCCAGAGAAATCAGAATGTCCAGAAACGCATGTGTGTTTCGCAACTGTGGTGTGAACTTATGGCACCCATAGAACTAAGAAAACTATTACAAGGGTCTAACATGAACGGATAGACAGTTTGAATGTAGATATTTTCCTTCATATAAGAAGGACAAACAAAAGCAATGTGAATGATACCAAACATCGCTGGGGTTCTCATTCCTCGTGGCAAAGATGATCAGTGGTAGTCAAGCATATAATGAAAAGTAACTCTTTATCCTTGAAATCCTTAATAACTATACAAAGTTCAACATCATACCTGCAATGCTTTTAGCAGCTTCTCCAGATAAAACCACCAATACAGAACAAAGTGCTTTAATATCCTGGGGTTGGATAATGTCGGCTAACAGGGACCTTCAATCACAAGTGGGGGATATATCAGTCACATTTTAGAAAGAAGATTTGACATCATCTAAAAGGAAACTTCATACCTGTATGTGACTTTGGAAGGGGTATGCGCAGCTGTGATGCCACCACGAACTACATGGTTTGAAGAGGGTGCAGGAGCCCGGATCTGGTTACCCTGATTAAAGAGGAATACACGTCGTTCACATTTTTCATGACACATGAAATAGTATTAAACAATCACATCTCATTCGATGAATCCAAGTTCAATTGAAAATTCTAAAAGCAGGTAACATGCAGCCACCGTATTAATTAAGGCCGTCTTCAAAATTCCTAAATGTTGAGTATACTGAAATCATAAAAAGATGCACAATTGATATAAAAAAAAAGGAATTCCACCTGCTGAGTATGTCCTGGCCTGTGAAAGGACGGCTCCCTGCCTGTTTGGCCAAAAAATAATTCCTGACCTTTTCTCTTTTTAGACAATGGAAGAGATGTAAACCCAGATCCGAATCCAGATGCACCAATTGCTCCTGTTATAGCAGCATTTGCCTGCTGCATGTTAATGTTGTTGGCATTGTCGCTGTGAAAGAGAGCCTGACGTTCCTCACTTCCTTCGAAATTCTTGCAGTCCATGCACTTGCAATTTTCAGAACAGAGGATGTTTGCCTGGAAGCATTCACAGTACTTCTTGAGGCATCCCGACTTTTTGCAATGGCATCCCTTGTTGTGCTTTCCCAACACTACTAATTCTCCGTTTTCCTCCTGCACATATATGAACTGATTGACTTGCTAAGCAAAACAAGAAAATGACAGCTCCCTTAAAAAATCAAGGTGAATTAGACCAAAGTTCCAGATCCTATTCCAGCCAATCCTTCAAGGTGATCTTGATAAATATAATTAAAGAAAAAAGAAAATCACAAAAACATACTGAAATAAACCAAAGACCAAATTAACCACCAGCTAAATATCCCAATGACCAAAATTAGCCAAAATCAGGCTACATACCTACCAAATATCCACAAGGCTCGACAGTGTCCCAAACTTCCAGTGTGTTATTCGTTTATTTATTTATCAAGAATACCACAATTTGAATAGGGGGGAAAACAAAGCCTAAGTAGTACCACTATTTGGCTTCACCAAAATGAACAGGGAGAACTCCTGGCAATTGATTGGTTAAAGGTTTAAATATTTTCAGGAAAAATGAACAATGAGTAATCTATCTTTTGATCAGTGAAGTAGGAATTCTCTCTTCAGCTCCAAGAGCGCGGAACAACTGTGAATGAGTGCAAACCTGAGCTATTAAAAGTGCAATATTTATTAATCCCTCAGGGATAGGCCTAGTGGTATTGAAAGATGAAAACATTCAAGCCACTGTTTGGAAGTTGGAACTAAAATTAGAGGTACGAAGAAGAAGAAAATTGAAGATTTACCCGGATATCTTGTGCTGTACGTGGGCTGCTAGCAATTTTTGGCCTGAATGCATTTGGGTTACGCTCCAAAGTTGTTTCAACTGCTTCTCGCCTGGCCGCTTCATTTTCGACATTGTTACAGCAGTTTACACAATTGCACCCATCACAATATGTTCCAGAAGCAAAGCACTCACAGTACCTGATAAAAAAAACTCGAGAACAATTAGCACAAAAGTGACAGACATTTGTTGATCCCGTAACTTAAAGCAAAATGGATATAAATTGAACCTAACAGAAGGAAATTTTAACAAACAGATCGAAATAAAGAAATGCTAGACAAAGCAGTTGATGCGGCTCAGCGGAGAACCACATGTCTCCAAACACCCAGCTCAACTCCTAATTGCAACTACAATCATTTATTGATCATACCAATAACCAACTCTACAGGTCTGTGGCCGCCATCAGATGAAACTTCCATTACTCATTGTATACGTATACAAACTGTTTAATTCACTTCGAAAGACTTTGCACTCACAAGTATCTGCATTTTCATTTGGAAAAGCATATAAACTTAAAGTTGATGTCTTTACTAAAAAAAACTTACAGCTTAGTTATGACCAGTAGAAAAGAATAGAGGAAATTGTGAACTTAACCTATCATATGGCTCATATACATTTGGATCCATATCAATTTTCCCAAAAATATGGCTTCCTACAATGAGGAGGAATAGCTTATAATGCATGCCCCAGCTAAACATGGAAAACAAAGAGGCCTAGCAAAGATAACCAACATCCACTACTGCACAGCAGAACCAGCTTCCTGGATAAGGGAAGAGGGTAAAGGCTGTTCCTAAGATAATAGCTTTTTGGTCATTGTATGAAAAGTTGAAACTAGCATCATGAATAAGCAATAGAAAATGGAACTGCGCTACCAGTACCAAGGGCTCTGCACCATCTCCAATCGCGGAAACCTTTTTATATAGATTTCACCGTGGAAATTTTTCGAACAGAAAATTCAAATACAGTGAAATTCAGACAATAAATTAAGGTACTCACAGCTTCAAGCACCGTGAGTGCTTACAGTTACACTGTTTCTGCTTCTTTGGTGTACCATCTTTCTCTGCAGCTGGTCTTGCTCTTGATTTTGGGGAATCAGGTTTTCTGCAAAAGGAAATAGTTTCGTCAACAAAAGAATTAGAATGACGAAATGTCCTTGAGCATAGTTGTCGCAGCAATTACTACGAGCACGTTTAGACAAACTTTTCAAAAAGTGAGAGAGGATAAACTATGTTATGTTGCCTCCCCGCCAATGTTCCCTTTATTTCGGGGTTGAAGTTCGCAATTACATACACATGGCAAAAAGTTGAACCTATTGCAGGTAAATGTTAATGTCCACGACAGAAAAGGAAATTGTAATGCATCAAGGATGCACATTTATTATAGTGAAGTCTCGAGAAAAAAAAATCCAGAACACCAATAAACCAGTTCTTCATTCTGAAAACCCCACACAAAATCACTACAGTAGACAGCCAGGTTTCACATGATCAATTAGGAATGCCAAATAGAAAATAAAGTCCAGAAGCCATAGGTAACTACAATCTGATGTGAAGCAATTCGATACCTTCAGCCATTGACAAAACTTCATTATCGAATAGGTTAACGAGATCGATCAGAAAATAATAAAGCCATTAAAGAAACGAACTTTGAGAGAAAGAAATCACAGAAACATTGCCCCAGAAACAATAGACAAGATGAAGAATCCACACCCCACGGCAGTCAGATTCTTCCGCGAGCAAAAATCAAAAACTTGAAACAAATTCCAGTCAAGAAGAGAAGGAAAACTTACACAGCCTTCGCAGCTGGAACACCCTGTTGCTGCTGCTGCTGCTGAGTTGGCGGCTGAGGCACAGCAGGGGTGGTCGCCGCCGCAGCAACGAGATGCGGCTGCTGGCTCTGAGTAACAGCCATAGGAACCGGCGGTTTCGCAATCGGCTGCACAGCCGCCGCCACCGTCGTCGGCTTCTGAGGCGGAGGCGGACCAGCAACAGCAGCACCAGCAGCCGCAGCAACCGGCGGCTTCTGCTGTTGCTGCGGCGTTGCCGATTGCGGATGGTCAGGAAGAACCACCCCGCCGCCGCTGCCCTGAGTGAAATCGAGCTGCCTAGCAAGCGGCGGAGCCTTTTTTGGAGGGAATTCGCTCCCCTCACCCTCCCCCATCCTCCCAAACACCTAAAAAAAAAAATTCAAAAATTACCCCTCGAATTCACACCAACACTCAGGGAAGCAAAAATAAGAACGCGAAATCCCGCGCGCGCTTCTCTCCACCCCTAAAATTTCTAACAAAACCCGACCCGAATTCCGCAACTCCCAGATCCCCAAGCTCCCCGCCCCGCCGGAAAATCGCCAATCAGCTCAACAACGGCTGGCTTTACCTTCCGCCGGAATGCCAAATTCCAGAGAAAGAAAGCGCAGAGCACGGGAATTGATCCACAAACAAAGAGTGGCGGCCGCCGGCGCGGAAAGAGAAGAAGCCGCGGTCCCGCCCCGCGGCGCGAGAGAGAGGGAGAGATTGGAGTAGAGACGCAGGAAGGAAGGGAGGGACGCAGGGAGAGTACAAAAAAGGGACGAGAAGGGAGAAGAGAGGGCTTTTTTTGGGTTTTGATTTGGTTTTTTGCCTTTCGTTCTTCTGAGTCTGTTGTTTCTTCGCCTTTGCTTTCCTCCCTCTCTCTCACTGCATTTTGAATTTTGGGCTTAATATCGATCCGATTGATTTGCTATCGTGGGTTTTTTTTTTTTTTTGCTTATCGGACGGTCCATAAGACGGCCCTGGGTTTGGGTTTTGATCCAACCGCCTGAATTCATAGGTAAAAAGGACCAAAGCTTGCGTTCCCCCACCGTCTCGCCGTTCGATTGAGAGGGAAAAACAGAGCCCCTACCAAGGATTTTATTAGCTATTATTTTTTGCTCTCCAATTTAACCAAGGATTAAAATTCATACTGTATCGGAGGTTCGACTGTTAAAAATCAATATCGAAGTCTGACTCATAACGGTGTGATCAAAGGAGACAAGAAACCGTGCCAGACAATTTTTAGCTGATGAACAACCGTATTCGTGCTATTCCGCTCGATTTAAATCATGACTAATAGTTTGATATAAGTTACATCATTGAATCCCTCTCAACAACTCGAATTTTTTATATTAAACGGTTCTTCACAAATAACACCATTCAAAGGCGAACGACTAACTAAACCATGAATAAGTGTTTGGTACGCAAGAGAGATATTGTTGATAGTTTCGACTACTAATGTATTTTTATTTAAAAAAATTTTAAATATAAAATTCTATCATAGATATTTAAAAATTTAATAAAAATGGACCCACTTTAAACGAAATCCTGAGTACGCCCCTGAATCCAGTGACGCGGATCATACTCAGAACCAGAACGAGCGCCAAATGGAATAGACTACCCTCTATTAGACAAACAAACAGCTATGAAATTTTCATCTCTATACACCTGTGGGTCAAACGATCCAGTCTCGTAGTAGAGACTACGAAACTGTAGCAATAAGCTCACACGCTAATGTGTCGTCTCTTCGAGATTTTTTCCAGAAATATCACTATAAAGAAAAAAATTCAAAAATATCACCCATTTCCAAAATTTCCAAAAATACCACTAAAAATAAAGAAAAAATAAAAACTACCACTCATTTCCAAAATTTTCAAGAAATACCACCCTTTCTAAAAACTCACTTGTGGGGCGCGATTTTCGATGTAAACCGCATGGGTTGGGGTGGTTTTATTGACCACATGGGATCGAGGCGATTTGGTCCAAAACCGATGCCCCTGCGATTTGGTCCAATTTTCTTTTCCCGATCAATCCTAACCTAGGTGGAAACTTCTAACGAACGTATCTTTGTGCTCGGGTATACGATCATAGCAAATATTTTTTTTTATTCCGCATAACTTTTTGAAATCTTGCAAGCCGCAACCAGCCTTCGTTCCGAGAGAACGTCGTTGCTGCCTCGAATGAGCTTTTTTCCGATTTTGCCAAACTTTGGACGACCATAATTTTGTGCTTAAAAATCCTAACGTCGCAATTTTTTTTTCATTTCACATAACTTTTGAAGGACTACAATTTTTATCATAACCATAATTTCGGAATGTACGTGGATTTGCGAAAAGTGAAGGTAAAGTTATTCCCAAAATCCAGTATATCCAAAAATAATTCTTATTTTGAAAATTCATTTCCTAACAAAAGTTGTAGTCCTTCAAAAGTTCTGTGAAATGACAAAAATTGTGACGTTCGAATATTGGAGCAACTCGTTCCGGGTAGCAAACGACGCTTTTTTTTTTCGGGACGAAGGCTTGCGGCTTGCAAGATCTCGAATAGTGTCGCTGAATAAAAAAAAAATCGCTACGATCGAATACCCGAGCACAAAGATACGTTCGTTTGAAATTTCCACCTAGGATAGGATTGATCGGAAAAAAATTATACCAAACCGCAGGGGACAGCGGTTTTGGTCCAAACCACCCAGACCCCATGCGATCCATTAAACCGCTCGGTGGGGTGGAGGTTTTTGAAAAACGATAGTATTTTTGAATTTTTCGAAAATGAATGATATTCATATTTTTGAAATTTTTATGTTCTTTTTAGTAGTTTTTCTGGAAAATTCCAGCTCTTCGTCCCTAAGCAGAATGAATAGTGTAGTTGTCGTATCCATCTAGAAGACCATCCTCCAATGTCCAAACTACCAAGCCAATTGAAAACTTCGAATGGCTCTTGAGTGGATCCCTAACAAGGAAAGCAACCCTGCCAATCCCCACAGCGCGCTACCCACCTGATGCCTGCCGGTTTGGAACAAACCATTTGAATTCTTGCGTTTTACTTAACAAAGCTTAATTAACTACCCGATCATTCTATCGTTCGATATTCTACCGCCACGAGCTTCACTTACAAGTCTGAAGAAGCCACTACGCCTGGGCTGCAGCGTCTTCATCACGCAGGCATTTCATCAAACTCAACAGAATTCAAACCAGACAATACCAAGTCACCAGCCATCCGGATAGTTCAACAAACACCAACCCTGTCAAAAATTCCCGGGTATTTACCACATTATACTCACAACATCTACCCGACTAAAACCAAGTTCTCTGAAATCTCTCCCGCCGCGGCAAATTTGTTCACACTAATGAAGAGCAGCACCCGTCATGTTTCCTCCTCAGTCGAGCAAATACCACCCCTCGTCTCCCGCGTCAATACACGTCTCCAACTCGATCTCTCCCAAGAGGGCGTCGATCGTCCCTTCCTCCTCGTCCCATGAACATGTCTCGTCGGAAATCTCTCGATGGTGGAGGGCCGCCCCTCATCGGCGGGGACCTGCTCCTCTCCCTCACATCGCGTCCCCATCGTCCGCCTCGCTGAGGAGGTATAGGCAGGGGTGCAGCAGCGGGAGGAGGAGGAGAAAGCGGCATCCGTCTGTCGAACCCTCCTCTCCTTTCGTTGAAGAACCCATCCCTGCCGCGTTCTCGGTGACCCCATTCCACTGGTGGCATCGGCCGGTGATCGAATTTGCTCCTTCCCCTGTAGTCGTCGTCTGGGTAGTCGGGGCGTTCTCTAGGGTCAGAGAACCGTCCTCCATGCCTGAGATGTGGAGGGCCACCAGGCCCGAAATCCCTAGGGCTGCCCCTGCCCCAACCGCCACGAGGAGGAGGTGGAGACCTGTATATGTTCATGGCTCTCCCAGGAGGAGAAAGATCCAATGGAGGACCGTGTGGGCGTCTCGGACCACCAACAGCATGTGGAGGCGGGGGACCCGGATAGCCCCTCCTAGGAGGACTTCGGCTTCCCCATGGTTGGGCGTAGCGAGGCTTCTTGCAGTTATTGCACACATCTCTCCTAGCAAAGTTCAGATTCGTGCACCTGAAAATCCAAACAAAGCATGAGTATGTTAAACACGAATGGTGAACACGCGATTCCAACTCTCAAGGCTTGTACTTGACAGAAATGGTGAAGAGCCAAGTTAGTTTCGAAGTTACACCCAAGAGAGAAAAGTTAGTTTCAGAGCTAAGAATAGCCAATAGCCCATATGCTCCTACTGGCACTGAGAGTCCAACAAAAAAAAAATTCAACAAAATATGAGGCCAAACATGATATAGAGATAAAGATATGGAACTTACATAGGATCGGAACAGACCCAGTCTCCATCCCTGGGACGCACATTTGGATTGTTCCTATTGATGGCCTCTCCTCTGAATGGTCCTGGACCTAACCCAGGACGGTCAAACTCTCTAGCTAGTGGCCTGCCACCACCACTACTTCTACCTCGAGTGAAAGGTGGAGAAGAATCTCGAAATCTACCAGCATCCCTGCCGACCATAAACTCACGCCCCCTTGGTGGACCCCCTGAATGATCAAAATCAGAAGCATACCGGTGATCTCCATCCCTACGACGTGCAGGTGAACCAGAACCTGCATTCATTCTATACCCTGGAAAACAGCCAGCATAGCCCACAGATAAGCAAACCCTTACAGAACAATCGGAAAGTCTTGTTAAGAACAACGGACTTACACCAACCAATAGCTTATAAATCCAAAAACTGCCAAACAGTCAACCCAACCAAAAGTTCCAATGTCACAGAAACACACTGGGCTGCAGCAACCCTGATCCCAAAGAGTAGTTATCAACTCTTCTCTGTCACTAGTTCTGCTCTTTGCCCAAGAGTTAACAACCATGGACGGAGGTGAAGTGCTCGTCAGCCCAGTATTCAAGAAACCAATCATCAGCATTATCAAAAGCCAATCCCCAGATTTACACACTTAAGACAATATATAGCATCACTGCCCTACTTGTTTATTCTATACCACCTCATGTGGACCCACTCGGCTGAACAAAGTTTACCATCCAAAAAGAAAGAGAGAAACCACAAGGGAACAAAAAACACAGCACCAGGTTGTGTGCAATCGGCCACATACTAATCCACAAAGTATCAGCAACATCGAGGAACTTCAGCATTGCATTTTTTCACCCAAATGAAAAGATACCAGAGTTGGCCCATATCCACGAGCAAGAGACATGTCCCATTAGAGAAAGCCTCTAAAATAGTCGAGTCCGAAGTCATTACCCAGCGTCCCAGCCTGGGCAGCAAACCACTAAAAGCTCACACTGGAATATGTTATCACGCCTATTGGAGAAAAATTATCCAATATATTTAACCAGGTGGGGTAATCATCTGGCATCACAGATTGGTCAGTGACTTGGGCACTTCGTGGAACAGTTTCCACACGGTTCAAGCTGATGTCGAGTTAACGGCTTCATGTTCCTAAGATGTGAACCATAACCGTATTCCCAATAAAAAGATGCACACACAACCCAAAATTGTCTACCATTCACACCCGTGACAGATGATATCAGCCCCATATATGCAGTCCCTAATATTAAACCCCACATTCCATCCAACAATGATCCCAGAACTGAACTCACACCAAGATGGCTTCGTCAAGACCAAAGTTCTTGCAGGCAATATTCAAAGCTGTAACACATAATGGCAGAATTTTATTTCCAATTCAAAACTCCCAAAATGTTAGTTCATCCACATTTCTGTAAGCGATGATAACAGTAACTAAATAATAAATATCAATTGATCTCAAAGCCCTACACGTGCTTGTCGATCCCAACAAAAAAGATGCAAAATGATGACGGAACTTCTCTATTTAACAGTTTTTTGCAGTTTTTAGATATAGATTCCAATAATACTATGCAATTATGGAACCCCATGAGCAGGTACAGCATATCCCACCAATCGAGGTACCTCGACGGTTACACCTAACTGTCGAACTTTCTATTCCTAATAAGATCTAGAGGGTCAAGTATTTCTTATAAAAGTATAACCTTGAAGTTTTCTGCCAGACTAAAGACTGAGGAGTCTCTGAAATTCTGGGGCAACTGCATTCTTAAACGCCACAGCCAATCGAGCATCAGTAGCATAGCAGATTGCAAAAGGAGTATGATTAGATTTCCTGACTAAGCTTAATTTTATCTGACAAACCCAAGAACCTCTCAAGAACCTATGAATTCACTATGGGACATATGTCAAAGCATCCTCCATTACTCAAGTCTTCACCAGGCAACTTGACCAGAGCATCGATATCAGTTAATTCTTTCACTCCTTTAGGCACTATCTAGATAGTTGCACGCCATCAAATTCAATATCAGAAGCAAAGCCGAAGCAGTGGAAGGCAAATTTCGCAAACAATACCATCTCAGTACAAGCGTATTGCTGAGATACATCAAAAGCGAGTAAAACACAGAGGACTACGAGAACGAAAACAATAACAAAACTGACTTCTCTTAACAGAACATGCATGAAACAGTAAAGAAACTCCGCAAGCCGTCAGCACAGATCGGAAAAGGATACGGAGGTGCAAAGAGACACAAACCTGGAGCGTCAGAGAATCGCTCGGATCGAGAATATGGCGGCATCTCACGACGCGCCTCGCCAGTTTCAAACCCGCCACCACGTCCACCTCCGCCTCCAACATCGCCGCCGCCGCCGCCGCCGCCGCCGCTGCCGCTACCGCCACCTTCACCGCCGCCGTCGCTAGACGATGGCCGTACGACAAGGCTGCTTAAGAGTGGCTGGTGGTGCGACGCACCATGTTCCTTTTCTCTGGACCCCATCGGCCGCGATTCTACCTCCCCCTCCGCAAAGAATGAACGATCGATTTTTACGTGCGACGGACGATCAATTGATTTTGTGGGGGTTATGAATCGGGCGGCGGAAACTAATAAACCCTAACGACGTGCCCAGGAGGCAGAGAAGATATTCTGATGGAGGCACAAAATTACGATTAAGGGTACGGTGGATTCGTGAATTTACAACCGGAGGTGGTGGAGACTGCGGAGATCGAGATATTCGCTGGTCTGTCCCCGGCTGTCGGTTATAAAGCCTTTTTTGGAATACGAGAGCATCGAGCTTTTAGCATTTTACAGTTTGATCCCTGCATATTTGCTAAATTGTTCATTTCATGCTAAAGCAAAAAAATGGTTTCCATGACATGAGTAGCCCAACTATGATTTTGTTACCGGTATTGGGTTTTCGGGTCTAAAGACATCGCAAAAGAAAAATTAAAATCCTTCATGATCCAAAAGAAGGAGTTGTAGGTTGTGATCAACTCCTCCTTTTGTATTCACACGAATTTTTAATGGATGACTTTCACCTCTATTGTGCTAACCATAAAATTTGGAGCATTGCCGAGTTATCGTTTTAGAGAAGACTAAGAGAGATAAAGATGGCAAGTGAAGAGCTGATTTTCGTCACTCACTTCATCCCCTATTATATGTTCATCAGTTCATGAAAGGCTGATGATTGATCTTGAATGAAACCAAACATATGCACTTCATTTTTAAACATATGAGTCATAAAATGGAGATGAATTGTCCCCAAACAAACTTAAATTGAATATTTCATGGTCACTCACTTCAGCCTCCTATTTATATGTCCATGAAATGGTGATGATTCATCTTGCATGAACCCAAAAATATGTACCTCATTGTTAATCATACGAGTAGTCAACGTTGAATAATCAAAATGACTCATTTAAAGTGGTGATGATTTGTTCTCAAATGAACCCAAATTCGGCATCTCTTACTTGTTTACACCTCGTGGTAATAATGTCGAAGATGAGGTTGATTATGTCTTTCTAACCCACGTCGTCCTTGTTAATATCCCATGGCAATAATGTGGAAGATAAGGATGATATTCTCCAACTCTTCAACTAGTGCTCAAGAAATTTGCAAAAGATTAGGTTCCTAAGCTCCCCTCAAGTCGAGGCTTGTCCGTGCGATATGCAGGCTGACCCAGCATACCATCAATGGCAAATTAACGAATTTGGTATGGCAGATTTGGGTCAACTCTGTGTACATGATAGCCAGGCGTGAATTTACATAATGCCCATTTGGTTAATCCAAGTGTTAACCAATCTGTATTTCTTATAAATGAGATTACATAATGTCGATGCTTGGCTTCGGTGACGATTTGTGGTGATGTTAAATCCATTATTGATCGATACAATACCAATGATTATGAAGTCTCACTATGGAGCTATTCTACAATATAATTGGTGACATTTTGGCGACTACTCCGGATTATAGGGTTATTTTTGTTGGTAGGAATATTAATAATGGGAGTCCGTTTTGTGGCCTGTCATGTCTTATCTTTGACGCCTCATATTTTACAAAGGTTCGACTTTGTTAATTTGTTACGTTCAAAGATAGCATTGTAACTAAACTATTTCATCTTTGTGGGTGGTCCAGTGGAAAAAAAGCATGTATATGAATAAGATACAACAGAATTTATGTGTTAGGAAAAGTGTAAAGGCAAACATGTGAACATGAAGAACTACATTATATTGGGAGTCATGGTGACATAAAAGTTAGAACCATGGGCCTGAGATGTGGATGAGCATTGTGTGAATGGGTTGATAATTGCTTAAATAACCATATTTCTACTCTTATTCTTGACAATTTATTTCGAGAACACCCTTTCCTTTGTCCACTTTATGCTAGGTTATGTTGTTTTGCCATATTTTATACTAGAACGTGGAGAAGGGTTAGGACTTAGGAGTGAGTTTGAGACATTTTGAGGCCAAAATAAGAAGGAATACTAAGCCATAATTCACGGTTTGTGACTCCAAAACTCACTGTCGCGAGACTTGCCAAAAAGGACGTGAGAAAACCACAAGAGCTCAAAATGAAAGTCACGATTTGCTCACTCAATGTCACGACTGCGACTTTCCTCAATTTACGACCGTGAGTCTCGAGAGATGGCTAAATGAACGGGGCATTTTAAGAAGTCACGACCTGGAAAATGAAAGTCATTGTCGTGTCGTTCGATCGTGAAAATGCCATCGTTGGGTATAAATAGGAGGCTGCAAATTTTCCAAAGGGGGTTCAAGTTTTTCAGATTATAACTGAAAGAGGGAGACGTTAAAGAGAGTGGGCGACCTGGGAAAGTTCTTGGAGCTGTTTTTGCGATTCTTCACCATTGAAACTCGGGAATCAAGTTTTGTAGCATAAATAGACAATCAGAAGACGAGTTCCATCACCACAATGACATTTTCATATTCTCGTATGTTTTCCCTTATCTCTCTCTCTCTCTCTCACACACACACACTTGAGGATAAGGAACCAAGTCTTGAATATTGACCTGGCGATTATTTGATACTCTAGTGAATTTGAACTCATAGTTTATATCATATTGATGCATTATCCAGTGAATATTTGAGCCTCAATCGCGTTCTTATGAATTACGCTTTAAATTACGAGAGATGAAATTTGAATAGGTTTGTTAGAGCAACATCATTTGGAAGTGGGAAATCGATTACACGAGAGTGAATTGATTCACTGCTTTATATCATATTTTGATCCTATAGATGGAATCTAGAGTGCATTGGATTTGTAGATTGTCTTAGCTGAGAATAAAATCCCTCTAAGCACTCTATTCAAGAGAGCATTGATTGATTAAAGCGAGATTCAAGACTCAATAACGATTATCCGCAATATAATTACTAGGGCTGGGAAAATAGACCAGACCGTTAGAAAAACCGTGGTCAAACCGTACCGCGGAGTTTGGTCCGGACCGTAGACCATTAAGTATGGTCTGGTCTGGTCCATGGTCTGTATTATTTTATGTTTTGATCTCTTGGTCTGGTCTGGTCTAGGCCGCGGTTTACCGGACCAAATCGTGGACCCAACTGACTTGTCAATACGTGTTAACAGCCCATTCGACTACTCTCTCAACTACCACAACGACACCCAAGTCTCAACCTTATTTTTGTGAATCTCGTCCCTCCTTCATTCACAATCACATTTAACCAGAGAGTAGAGATAATCATGTCTGCATATGACATTATGTTAATGTTTATGACGTTATGGTGCAAGTTGGGATGCTTTTACTTTGTATCTTTATTATGTGCTAAGATTTAGAGTATCAAAATTATTCATGCATGTTAGGATTAATGTTTTAAGGCAAATAACAATTATTTTTCTTGGTTATTGGTTCAATTTTTTTGTGTGGTTGACTAAACAAATTATTCATTCTTCGTTGAGTGTGGTCTATCTGGACCAGACCAGACCGAACCAGACCGCACAGGCGTGGTCTGGACCGGACCGTATAGTCTGTGGTCTGGTCTGTGGTCTAAATTTTAGCCTCTCGGTCTAGACCATAGACAGCGGCGGATCCAGAACACAGTAGCGCACTGGGCCGCATTTCATTAGAAATTAGATACTGTAAAAAGGATAATGATTTTATATTTTTTTTTACAATGTCAATTGTTCACGATGGTGTTTTAATTTAGTGAATGCATCAATAATGGAGTCTACATCCATACCATTAGTATGCTTTATTTCAAATAAAATACTTGAGCAACCGGCGAGTAATTCATCGCTCATTTTGTTGCGCTAATCATTTTTCACATGTTTCTTTGTTGATAAGGTTCTTGCCGTAGTAGCTGTTGAAACGGACAGCGTCAATACTAAAATCAATCGACTAATCAATTTCCATTGTGTGTCCATCTCTATATCCAACAACTGTTCTAGTAAATTTTCAATGGAATAAATCTCATATTTCTTTTATTAGTCTTTTACGCTTTAGACTTTTAGAATTTCTTGTTCCGTTGTTTTTGTTTAGACGAAAATCTTTAGGGCTAGAATTTATAAGCTAAATTTAGAGTAGTTATTTGAATATGTTCATATGAATTATTTTTCTAGTTACACACAATCTTATTATAAAATAACACTGAACTGAATGTCTAAAATCCAAAAATTCATAAAGACTATACTAACTTTGGATCCAGAGGAGGGCTGGGCCGGAGCCTGGGTTGGCCACCCCCTAGATCCGCCGATGACCATAGACCGTATATATGGTCTGGTTTGGACCAGACCGCACTGTTTCCCAGCCCTAATAATCACGGAGTGAAATGAACTAGGAAACCAGTAATCATTAATCCGACCAGAGTCTAAGGGGATTGAATACCTGAGTGGATTTTTCCAACTGGATTGTGATCAATTCACTTATTGCATCGTTAATTAAGAATCATTTACTGCTTTCATCCTAAATTTGATTGGCTAAATAATAGACTTAGTCTGAGTATTACTACTCTACAGAACCAAGTGTCCAGTATTAAATTGTGTGTCACTATATTGCATTAGAGTATCTATCCCTCTCTAACCTAAAACGAGCAGAAACATGGTTACACAATCCGACGAGAAGAAAACTTTAATTGATTGCTCTGACTCCTGCCACATGGACGCATGAGAACCGTAAACCTTACATCCAAGAACTCTCCTTTTCCTTACTCTAAATTACCAAAAACACCCTTTCTAATTGCAGCTTTGTCGCGCCCTGATTGGTCGACATTACCCAATCTCTCAACAACAGTCTTAATGGGTCTACCTAACCTGAAACCGCCCCTGCGCCCCCAGACGTAATCGTACCAGAAAAGCATAGCTGAAAATGAAACGACATCAAATACCATCTTTAAATGTCGTTCCATCTTCAATTAATTAATTTTAATCATTGATTACATTCTCACCGTCACTCAGATTTCGATCGTCGCCGCCTACTTGGCTATTGATGATAGAGTGATAGCTAAGCAGAGAGAGCTCTCTCGAAGCAAATCCCGGTTTCTACTTTTTCAAGCTCTCTGCTCCTCCCGTGGGAAACGAAAACATTTCCACTATCGGCCGCCGTTCCACACGGTTTCGGCGACCGACCTTCTCGAAGCTTCGTGTTCGTCGTCGTCGTCGCCGCTTCCGGTTTCCTCTCTGTTGATCGCAATCTCCGAGCTCGTTCGTCGAAACGGTAATCATTTTGGAAGTGTGTTCTTCCTCCTGTTTTGATCCAAGTGAATTTTGTTCGTTGCTCCGTCTCCTGATTCT